TAAAAAAATTCAATTTTATTTTATATACTAAATATGATTTTTAGGTCAAAATATATTCAGATTTAGTATTATCTTATTTTTTATTTTTCTAGCAATTTCTTTTCTTTCTAATACAAAGATTCTATATAATTAATTATATAAATAATATAATTTAATATTTATTTTATCAACTTGTTAGAAAAAATTTTAAGTTTATTAAAAAGTTTTTTAAATAATTCAATTTTTAAAATTAAGTTTTAAAAAATTTATTATAATAATTTTTTAAAAATTATTTATAAATTAAATTAAATCATTTTATTATTAATAAAATTATAAAATTTATTTTTTAATTATAAAAATCATAATTATTTTTTATAATAAATTTTAAATATTAATAAGATTTTCAAAGATTAATATTTATAAAATTTAACTTATAAATAATTTTAGATTATTTATTATATAATTAAATAAATTTATAAAAATAATTAATAAAAATAAAAATAATTCTATTATACTTATAATATTTATTAATAATATAAATTTTATATAATTTTTTAAATATAGGTAAAAATAGAATAAATATCAATAATATTCTATATAAATTTATACTGTATATTTAAATTTTACTTTTTATATATTATAATTTTATTATTATTTTATATATATATGATATTATCTCTTAAACTATAGTATTTTATAGGTAAATTTGCTTACTTATTTATTATAAATTTTTTTTTGATTTGCTTTTATGAAAATTAATAATTTATAAAAAATTTTTTTAAATTAATTTTTATAAATATATATAATATTATAATAACTTTTATTTTTTAATTATAATATAAATAAATTTAAAATTATTTATATGCTAAAAATTTTTAAATTAAAAAATTTTATTATTAATCTTTGACAATCTTATTAACATTTACTTTTGTTAATATTAATTATAATAGAATATTATAAAATTTATTATAAAGAATAACTTTAATTATTATAATTTTATAATTTATTAAGAAATTTATGATTTTTATTAATAGTAAAATTATTCAATTAGTTTGCAAACATATGATTTTAAGAAAATTTTTAAAAAAATTATTATAATAAATATATTAAAACTTAATTTAAAATTGATTTATTTAAAAAATCTTCTTAATAATTTAAATTTTAAGAAAATTGATAAAATATATAATAAACTATATTTTCATATAATAATTATATTATTAACATTAATATTTTATATTTGATTAAAAAATTAATACTTTTTTTATATTTATAGGCAAATTTGCTTACTCTATAATTCAAGAGATAGATGAAAAATGAAATTTCTTAATAATAATTGAAATTTAGATGAAACTATATTAAAAATTATAATAAGAAATACAACAAAATCTTTTCAATATAATGAAAGCTAAAACTGTCAAAACTATATTAAAATATAGAAAAGAATATAACAAACTATTTTGAGAAAGTTTTAGCAGATATCTATATATAATATAAATAATATAAAAAATTATATTATAACTTTATTCATTACTATTAAGATTAAATAAATTTTTTTTAATATTTCTTACTTTAATTATACTTCAACATAAATTAACAAATTATTAATTAATTGTATTTTAATAAATTAATTATTTTATTAATAATTATAATAATATCAAATTGATATAATTAATTTTAACATTATTAAAATTAATTAGCACTAAAATATAACTTTAATACAGTCAACCTTCTCTAAATGCATCTTTTCTAATTGTGTACATTATATATTTTCTCTCTAAATGTATATTCTCGTTCAGTCTCAAACATATAAAATTTATATAGATATTTTTCTTTAAATACTCGCTCTCTTTAAATACATATTTTTAAAATTTTCATATGATTCTAAAGTGATGCATTTAGAAAGGATTGATTATATTAATTTTATCTAAAAAAATTTATCAAGAAATTTATTGATAATTTTCTAATTTATAACTAAATATATAGTATATAATTATTTTCAAATAATATTTTTAATAATAAAATAAAACTTTGTTTTTATAAAACATAATTTGTATTAGTTATATAAAAATATAAAAATTATATAATAATTATTTATAATGATTAATATTACTTTATAAATTAATTAATATAAATAATATATCATATAATTATTTTATATAATAATAAATATGTTTACATATATTATAATTTATATAAATAGTATTAAAAATACTATTATAATCTCTATTTTAACAAGAATATTGTACTTATTTCATCTAGATTGTTCGTGAAAGATCTTCTCAGATCAATTGATTTTCATAATATACAACTACTTTACATTTTAAAAAATACAGTACAATAGATATTGATTGGATTCAAACCTCTTTCATTCTTAATGATAATGAAAACAACTTCTATATATCCTTCAAAGCCTCTTCTATTCGCAAATTTAAAATTAAACTCATGTTTGAACTGCTCCCTATAGTGTTTCAGGCGAAACTATTTTTCAACATCTAAAACATTTCGCCTAGAGAATTTTTCTATGATCTGAAACTATCTAAAACCTCTGAAATCCTAAATTTGGAAAGATTTTTGCAGATCAAATTGGCGAAACTAGTTTCGCTTGAAACACTAGCTCCCTATCTTAAAAATCCTCAAAATAAGACACTTAAATCTATATGACCAATCATAAAATTGTTCTAGATGTTCGTGTACTTATGAAACTTTTAATCATATTTGGACTTGTATCAATATTGAACACCAACTCATTGATATTATATTCTCAACCAAAAGGTTTTTTATACAACATTTTATTATATTGATCTCAGACACTTAGAATTTTATGGATCTTCTAGATTTGAACATCTGGTCCCTAAATGATTAATCTAACTCTCTTAACTTTATTGACTTGATCAAAGGAATTGTATCCCTTCCCCTATTCAACAAAATACACCACTTTATTAATAACCTCCAATTAATAAACGGTCTCATATATTCTACTTATCATTATGCATTCTCTCAAATAAAATCTATCTGGATTAATTATTGCAATAATATAAAAAATTTTAAAAATTTCAACAACATCTTACCTAATGATCGAAAATTACATTTCACTAACATCGGCTTTCCTTCATCATTATCACACAATTTTAGTATTCTTTTATACTTTATTTTCTTCTTTAGGTTTGGTACAAACTGGTTAAATTTTTAGATCAGTAGTAATCACGCCCCCTGTATTGATGGTTGAACCTATTCTAAGTCTATTTGGATAGGTTAGTCTAGAACGGTACAAGGTTGATTTTGATTTGGTTTTATTGCTAAATAGGAATTTTTGTGCTCTCTACCTTGTAATTTGTAATTTTGTAAAAATTTACTTCTAAATAAAGATTGTGCAAAGCTACCGCACGTTAAAAAAAAATAAAAAAAAAAATAAATAGTATTGAAAATATAGAAAATATAAAGTAATAATTATATGTATTTTAAATTTTTAATATTTTTAATATAAAAGATATTTAACATATTTAATATAATAAATTTATAATATTTAGTATATAATGATATTATCTAAAAAATACTAAAACTTGATTAAACTAATTTTTAAAAATATATTAAATTATTAAATTAATTTAAATATTAAAATTTAATTTATCAAGTATTATAATAATATATATAATTAAGCTAAAAGAAATTAATTTTTATCTATATTATTTTTATATCTCATATACTAAAATTCTGTAATGTTTAAATATATATATATATATTTTATATTATGATTTTCCTTAATATTGTATAATAAGTTTATTTATTATAGAAATTTCGAGTTTAGTTCAGTTTAGATCTAGGTCTATATAATTTAGGATTAGGTTTAAGGTTTCCATGTTATTAAGCGAACAGAACCTTTATATCCAATAGATGCAGAAAACCCTTTCTATAGGATAAGAATCGATATTATAGGACCTTTACCTGTCATGGAAAGGAAAAATAGATATATTGTAATAGCAATGGATTACATGACTAAATGGCCCGAGGCTAGAGCCTTATCAGAAGCTACTGCAGAACAAGTCGCTAATTATAATTATTATAAGTTAGATAAATTTTGATTAATATTTTGTTTATAAAGCTAGGCTTTTAATGAATCAAGCTGAATTATAAATTAAATCAATTAAAAAAAAAAAAAAATTTAAACCGAGTGAAAGTTAAAAACGAATATTAAACTTTTTTTTTTTAAAACAAAAAAAATCCTACGATATCAGAAACAAAAAGTATGAGGTTTAAATTTTTAGCCGAATACTTATTTGTGATTGCTAATTCCAAAAGAGAATCGACACCAGAATTTTCATTCAACTTTAATTTTTTGATTGAGTATTACATGGAAGTAATTGTTTGTGAGTGATATGGTTCATTTGGTGATGATTTTTTTGTTGTTTAATCGTTAGTATGTATACTTTCGTTATAAATATTAATCAGCAATAGTTGGCATATCTTCAACACTCTTTGAATTAAAATTAAATTTTTCCTGTAAATGTAATAAACGATCAATTTAACATTCTACTTGTTAATGTTCATAGAAAAATGTGTTAATTAAATATTTGAAAAAGTTTAATCAACTTTGATTCAGTACACAAAAATCGATGGCTAGAGATTGAAATCGATGAATAATTCATAAAGAAGATGGATGAATTTATCAGCAAGAAGTGATAATAATTTTTTGCTAAAACATATATCATTTTGTGAGTTTCGCAATTCACGACATTAAATTATTATTACTTAATCAAAAAATCCAATCGCAGGATCAAATTTTGTTCTCATTTGACACGCAAAAAAAGCTTTGCTAAAAGAACTTTATTTCATAACAATTGCAATAATATTTTTTTTGTTTTCGCTAAAGCTAATAGTAATTAAGAGAATAGAAATATTGTAAAACAAAGGTAATAAAATTACCATCCAACAGACCCATATTAACAGAATTGGCTAAAGAATCTACATAATTCATGAAGAACATATGAAATAAATCTTTTCCCCATGTTCCCTGTTTAGGGTTTCTAAATGTCGAGAGCTGTGTTTATAGTGGTGGTTGTAGGGTCGTCGTGAATGATTGAAGTTGTTGCCGGGATCTCCTCCTGGTCGGCCGTAGCTGCGGTTGTAGCTCTTTCCTCCGCGTTCCTTCTAGCCCTTTGAACGACAATATCCCTATTATGATCATGACCTCGAAGGAATGTCAAGGTTGTTCGATATACATATTCACCGGAAATCATTGTAATCCATACGGTACTGGTAATAATAGTTAGGAAAGCGGTCAAGAATAAAGCAATGATCACAAATGGCAAGGTGAGCGTCAGACCAACGCTGTTAATCGCAGCCCACGCCATTACAACTTAAAAATGAGAAAAATCTGCGTTAATAAAAAATTTTTTTTTTTTTTTCAATCAATCAATCATAAATTATTATTTACATACAAATAACGCCAGAAATAAAGATCGATCCAACACTCCATAACATGAATAAAATAAGAGGAACGACAGAGAATATGATAAAAAAACGAAAAAAATCAACGATTGGTTGGTATTGTCGATATTCTTCATATAATTCCATTGAATATTTCTGGAACCATGTTGGAGTATATCGAAATAGATCTTTGATCGTATGCATCATGTCATCATAGAAAGTTTGAATAATTCCTTGAGTTTTCACTCTTTGTATAGTAGTCATGGTTTTTTTCTAAATCCAAAGTATGAAGTGCTTTTCGTTTCTTCTTGATTAATAAGTTGAGTCGTTCTTCAGAAATTATTTTGTATATTTATTTTCTTTTTTTTTTTTTTTTTCCTTTCTTCTTTTTTTTTTTTAAAAAAAAAAAAAAAATAAAGAAAAAATACGTAAAAAAAAATTGCGGCTTATGAAGATTATCATATTTATATGATATACAATAATAATATCTTAAACTCTCGGCATTTTTACGTAATATAATACGAGACTTTACATATCCATGAGATTAATTAAATTAACTTTATGAGTCTATTATTATATCTGGATCCGATCCTTCCCCTATATTATTCATTTCAGTAATCGAGGTTACATCCCGAGTAACTTCAACGTTTGATGGTAAAAAGCGTCCAATGTAATTATCCTCAAGAGTATAAATCATTATGAAGCTAATAAATATTGATATAATATTACAAGCGAACTACATAACATGAAAATTGTTAAATTATTATTTTTATTTTTAAATTATTTTTTTTTTTAAAAAAAATAAAACTGTACGTTTGTTTATTATATAGATAAATGAAATATTTATTATTATAAACTAACCTGATCAATTTGAAAATTCTTGACCGTTATTACTAGAAATTCCAAAGAGTTGCTTCTGATATAGATAATAATCGAGAATACGATTAGGAATGTCATTAACAAGATCTAAATTAACATAAGAAATTATCATTATTATTATGATTATGATTATTATTTAGAATCGTCAAATACTTTACCATGTAGAGTTCAAATTTTTTTTACCTTTGTTTGTATCGAATTCCACTTCCGTCCCCTTCCTTTCAATGCAAAAATTATAAAGATTCCAAACACAAGGAATCCTAATCCAACTAATCCCAAGGCGATCGATTCAATAATAAATAAAATTTTAAATAAAACAATTATTGGAGGTAACACTGCCTTATCCTTATAACTTAGTCGTAATATAAAACATAACGTAAATGCTGAGACCGACATTGGTGGGACAACTTTAAAGAATTTAGAGATTTCAACGAGTAGAAATGGTTTATATATCTTTTCTCTACAAATGTTCCTTGTCACGATCATCCTATCAAATCCAAAGGTTAAATTTTAGAATGAGATTTGCAATTTACCCAACGAGATCTTTATGGCTTACCATGACATGTATAGAATCGTGTACGACACTCCAGTCAAAAATTTTTTTAGACAATAAAAAAATCCTTTTGTTGATATTGCAAGTTTATCTTGATAGATATCACCGGGATCTAATTCAAGGAGTATGAACGAAACTAATTGCCAAGGGATAAAAAAAAAAAAAAATACTTTTTAAATATCTTTAAATCAATTTTTTGATATATAGCAAAGAGAACGATAATTACATGCGATTATAATTCCCAACGCTGGGTAAATCCAATATTTTGGATTACATAAAGCGCATCCCAAATTCACATAAGTTTTCGGAATTAAATAGATTATAATCATAACAAGCAACAAATCTAATAACCCAATTACAATTGAAAAAACTTTCCAAGTTTCACTTTTCATAAATTCTATCCATGGACCTTCATTTGCTGTTACATTTACGTAAGCAACGTCATTTGCAATTTTTATTAAATCATCAATATCTTCACAATTTATTAATGTTATAATAAGTGTCGCAGTTCTGAGAATTTTAATATCTCCTTTATACTGTTCTCTTATTCCAGGAATTCCATTATGGGAAGAAGAAAAGATGATTGCTTTGAGCGTATTATTTGGTAATGCAGTTTGAGGTGGTTCTTGATCATTGGTAACGGATGTAGTATCGTTTAAAGTTGGTGTAATTATAATGGCGGTATCTGTTGTTTTACCTGTTTTCAGATTTAAATCCTTATTATCATCATATTCCTCGTAATTTGAATTCGAATGTGATGTAAAATGATTTGGGTTAGTCCAAGAATTACTAAGTAATGAATGAATTGGCATCGATTAATTAATTTATTAAGAAAAGCGTGAAAGAGAAAATTTATTACCTTTGTAAAATGTTTGCGTAACTCTTGCATCCCAATTTGAGCGCTTGCCGGAACGGAATGACCAATATATCAATCCCAACCGGTATTTCTCGCACTATGCACGGATCTGGTCCCGTTTGGAACGAAGCAATAAATAAATTTCCCGTCACTTGCGTATAAGTGTCAGTAATAGACAAATCAACATTATGAAAAGATGTGATTTCTTCATCATGATTATTATACAACTTTAGCATTGGATATGATTCCTTTACTAATGAAAGGATCAATACTAAAACATACAAGACGTTACTGGAACGCATGACGAAAGTTGTTAGATTTTGGATGTTGTGATAAAGGAGAAATGATCACGTGAATGTGATAAAGAAAGAAAGGAAAAATGAAAAAATTTTCGTCATCTAGGTGGAGAAAAAAATGAAAGCTTTTTTTTTCTTTCAAAAGTAAATTTTAACTGTTAATTATGTATATATATGTGGTGCCTTTTTTTTTTTTTTTTTTTTTTTTTTGGTAAACCGAATTTGATGATGATGCATTTATATTTGGCATATAATTTGTAATTTGCGGCTGTAGAAAAGGATCTTTTTCGTGTTTGGTTTTTTTAAATTTTTAATAACGGGTTAAGCAAATAGCTCTTTTGTTTACGGTTTGTGGTCACGTACGTCGTGTGTCGAAGATTATCTTTCTAATATTACAACAAAAACGTTTTTAACCATGGGGACTTGTACCACGAGATGAACATGCACCACATTGTAATTCAATAAGTACGGAACGAACGGGACGTAATATTTAAAAAGATAATTAACCATACCATATTTGAACGAAACCCGAAATGAGAGCTTTTATTAAAAGGAATCCATCCATCATTTAATTTAAAAACGTTTCATTTCTTTATTAATTGTAAAACTTTTTGTAGTTCATGTAAGAAATATGTTGGTTTGTGCTAAATTTATTATGAAAAGATCTTTCCTTTTAAAAATATTTACATCAGTGTCTCAATTTTCATGCATGATCTTATGATCACAAATAAATAACCGGATTCGATGATTGGTATTCGATCTTTTTTTTTTCCTTTCGAAATTTCAAAATTTATTTAATTAATTTCCACGAATTAATTAATATAGAAATATATATAATATATAGTTATATAATGAACAATTATAAAATGCTTTTCCGACGAGGAATAAATCAAGAAACCAATCCATGATCCTGAATCAATAAATCAAAAAATTTGAACCTTTTGGACATAAAAATTAGAAATGATAATCCCAGGTTCTAATATATCTATTTGATAAAGCAAATAAAAAGTTTTCGGGAAGAGAATTTGCTAGGTTCATTTTTTGGTGGGTTTGGTCGTTTCTAAAAATTAAGAATTAATAATTAAGGAAAATGGTGAATCGGTTTAATTGATTTGGTCGATCTTCAATTACCACGACAACCACCAATATGTGGTAATTAACAATCCCAATAATAACGCTACAGTTTTGACATCAAGATCCATTGGTGTACCTGGAATTTCCTTTACATCTTTCTTACACGTACAACGTTCCTCAACTGGTATTTTACTCATGACTGTTGAGACAAAATAAAAAAAGTTAAAATCTATCTGTTTACCTTTTTTTCATTTGATATCAAAAAAAATATTTCCGAACCTGAATCGATATGTTTCCCACATCCTTGCCACGTATATTTCTGGCATGTTTGACAAGTTACTTGCTAATTGTTAAAAATAAAAAAAAAGGATTTCAAATAAAAATTTTTTATCCAACGAGCGACTTTAATCAAAAACTAAAAAAAAAACTCACAAAACACATTTTGGATTTAGGTGTAAAATAAAAAAAAGTTTTCTTTCCCCCAAAAAAAAGTTCTCTAATCCATATTTATAAGTTAAAATTTTTAAATTTTGATCATTAATGAATCTCGGAAACATCCGTAAAGCGTGGGAATTTTTAGACAACATGACAATGATAAACAGGACAGGACCTTTTCTCTTATTACGGGGTAAGCTAAAAAAGCGCGTGAGATGATATCGGTCAATAAAACAATTTCGTACTAAGTCTATTTATATTTTAATTAAAACTCGCGAAATTTTATTCCCCCAGTTAAAATCTTACCAATTTTAAAGTCCATTATAATTATAACTACAAATTAATCGAGAATCTTCGAATGTTCGATTTAAATATGTAAATTATCAGATTGCCATATATGGATTGGATTGTTTTATAAATGGATTTAATTGACCTCGAAAGTTGATTTCATAAGGGGATGTTTTACAATCATATAAAAAAATGATCGTGATTTATTACAAAAGAAATTTTTTATTCACGTGATGATTATATTACATCATTTTACGTCTGCTGAGCGAATCAATTTGCTGTATCATATCTCTATTTTTCGTGCGAATTTCCGAATCTACGTTTGCTCTACAATGCTTAATATTTAAATTTTTCAAGGGACGTTTTAAATTTTTGACAAGAACTTGGAAATGTTCGTCATCAAAACAATTGCAAAACTCAAATCCCAAAGAATCCAATGGAGCTTTACAATTCTTTATAAATCTCTCCAGAGACTTTGCACTAAAATTCCATTTCATATTGATCTTTAAATTCACCAAGCTATTCGGTAGTGAGTCCCCAATTTCGGAAAACATCTCTTCATCTAGGTCAATCGTTTCAACAAATCTCATTAAATAATATAATTCACTAAACCTTCGTCCATCCGGGGTATTTTTATCCCAGAGTTCAAGGTTACAAAGTTTTGTTGATGAACGTAAAAACTTTGGTAGATTCACAATTTCTTTCGGATCTATATAAACCAAAACATTTACCAGGTTAGGATTATTATCTGAACAATATTTAAGGATGTCTGTGATAATTCCGAATTGTTCAAATTCTAAATTCCTCAAACAACTTCCTGATCCTGTTAATAAAATTCTAATAACATTTTCGGGTATTGAGCTCAAAATGATTCGTAAATCGGATAAACGTGTGAATGAATCAGAAGTTAAATCTATTGAATGAACTTCCCCAAAATTCCAACATCTGGTGATGTTTAATGCTTTGAGATTTTTGCTCTGTGATAATTGATTAAAAAGAAATTTTTGATGAAAATCAATTGAAAGGAAACTTAAGTGAGTTAAAGTTGTCGTTTGCGTACTTAAGGATTTGAAGACGGTCGTTAAATCTAATGATAAAGAATGATCTTGATCTTGTGAACAACAATAACATCCAATTCGATTATCAATTGAAAATCGTTCAAGTTGTCGTTGTGATCTTATATAATTTGAAATATCAATTAAAGTTGAAGAATTAAGAGGACACCCGTGAATTAAGGAAATTTTTAAATCATGAACCTTTGTTGAAATTTCTGAAGCTTGCTTATATAAGCTTATATTATACGACTCGCCGTAACAAGAAAATTCGCTTAAATTCGAGAGACTGGATATCGCACCGGGTAAACTGAATAAGTTGAAATCTATCAAGGAATCATATTCAGGTTCAAATGCTGCATATTTAATATTTATCGCGTGACTAACAAAGTGACTACAGATTGATTGAAAAATCGGACAATCATTTGAAATTTTAACCTTGTCTCTTTTGCTCTCCAACCAAAAGGAAGTCACCGTCTTTATTTGTGTAAGGTCCATTTTACGCAAAAATCTAGCGTAATCGTAAGTGGGTCGTCTCTTTTGATAAATTTCAATCAATTTTGAAGGTAAATTCAAGCGGTATAATTCTTCCAAAGTAAAGCTAGAAAGATAAACGTCCAAAAGAATCGTCGCATTATCTTCTTGTGGGTGATTACAAAATGGATCTCTCCATAAAATTGGCAATGCTGTTTCACACCAAGCTTTACAAACCGAAATACTTGGGAGAAGATTACTTAGATTTAGATTATTTAGATTATTTTGATGCCATTGTAATTCAGGATCATATAATATAAATTCGAATATTTCACGAAGGCACAAGTATGGTAATGATGACGGCATGTTTTTTATTAAAGGGGAAAATTAAAAATAAAAAATCAACAATTTATGAAGAGAAATGTAAAAAAAGATGCTGATGGAAATTTTTTTTTTTTTTTTTTTTAAAGAAAAAGGGTGTGGTACAATCAGATCAACTATTAAGTAATGGTTGTGTCACATCTCTTTTCCATGAAATCAACGCCATTATAAAATTTTTATCATAGATCAACTTAAACCGGTTTAAAGTTCTCTTGATTGCAAGCCCAGATGCTGATCTAGACATTTCCTACTACAACAAGCAACAATTTGACATTTCGAACATACCAATAAACTCCAAATTGATTTTAGTTCTCCCGCCTTATAATTACAAATCACGCAAACAGGCTGAACTCGAGGCACATTTGGTTCTAACAAACGAAACCTAGTATGTGCCTTTTTAACCAATTTATCTGCACATTCTAAACCGCATGTTCCAATCTGTTCGCATTCATGATACAACTTTACTGCTTCCCTGTAATCGTCATTGTCATCGCCTTCGAGTTCAGCGGTCAAAGCAAGGCAAAAGATGATATGAATTCTTAAAGATTTAATTTTCCGAACTACTTCATCCGTTGCAGTGTTCGAGAAAAGAGGATCTTTCAAAACGGTTTTGATGGATTTCATCACTTCAATTCCGTGATTCCAAAAAAGTAAATCACGTCGACGATTAAAATAAAATCGATATAATTCAGTTAAACCTTCAATCACTTCGTGAAGGAGATCTATATCCCATTTCGTATATGAGCTCATTTTAATGAATTTTAAAGCAATGAAATAATACGCAGCGGATGTTGCGTAATCTGGTACGATGGTGGCATTTAAACCTCGAAGATTAATGTGACCCAATTTCGCTGCGGACCGTGAGGAGCCAAATATGGTAGCTAACTGCAAAATTTCCAACGATTTAACATATTCATGAGAGTTCATTTTACGTTCCGCTTCAGTTAAAAGATTTTGGACTTTATTTGATGTGGTCAAATTTGTATTATTTATGTCAGCTTCATTTTCTCTAAAGATTGGGATTTGAAACAATTTTTCATCCAAGCTTTTCGAACCTTTTAAAAAAGAAAATTTTTCTTTTGTTAGGAATAAACCCATTTTATTTTTTGTTTTTTTGGTAATTTTATTATTAATTTTATTTCTGTTAGACATTGTTGACGAGTGTTTATATATCAGGAAAATTATAATATTTGGATCAACCTTTCAACCTTGATTTTTATGAACTCGTAAATTTTAGCCTCATCGTCTTATCCATTGTAAATAAAAATTCTTGAAAAAACCAAAACTTCTTGAATTTCTCACACTTTTTTTTTTGGTTTGTGGGAAATATTTGAGTAAAATTTACCGAAATTGGAATGATCAGATTCTTATCTTGAGAATAAAATTTGGAATTGTGCTCAACCTAATATTCTTTACTTTTTTCCCAATTATCATGTTTTTGAAAATGATGTAAAATCTTAAAATTTTATCTAGTTCTTATATTTTACCATTATAAAACAAACACCATTACCATAACTCATTTCTAATTTATTTACTTTCATGTGATTTCTTTTAAGAATTATAATTTTCTTGACCAAAAAAACTTTCACCTAAAATGTATTAATATTAGATCTTCCAAAATGTCAGATTTAGCAATAAGGCATTGTTTACCCATATGCTTTTTATTTGTTTTTCCTTTATATGTAAAATAAGGAACAATTTGATACGTGATTTCCACACCATTCTTAAACAAGTTTAAAAGATTCAAGATTTGGGTGAGAAAACGGTTCTGACCTTTTTTTTATTGATTGGTTTGTTTTTGCTCTTTAATGTGGCACAGTTTTAATTTTCTTTTCAATGAATCTTGTTTGGTGTGAACATAGTCTTGAAAGTCTCACAAAATACTTGTCTACAAAAAAAAAAAAAAAAAGTGGAAAAACTTTAATTTTGTTTGGTAAGTCGTACAATTCATGGAAAATTCCATTGAATTTCCTATATATAAATCTCCCGTAATGTTCCGACCCCACAATCCAAAAAAAAACGGTAATACATCTGTATTGCGTCCGAATTATTCCGTATTTGTACGATGAATAATTGTCCTTTTCCTTTCAAGGTTTCCGTAATACGATCAAATCGACATAATCGACATTATATTTAAACAAGCTGCATTGGCTATCATAATTTTCACACAGAGGAATTGAAAAAAAAAACCATATCATGAATTATCCAACAAAAGATAGTACCAATCCGCAAATTCAAGAATATGACTTGAATTCGCGTAATAATTCAAACAATTCTCAGCTGTTTGATGATCCCACATCCGAGAGAGTTAATAAATTCGATATAGCAACTAAAGATAACGTCAAAGATGATAAAAATTCAAGTGTTAAAGATAAACTGCTCGCATTATCATTGAATTTTAAACGATTTTTTGGATTTGTGGGACCTGGTTACGGTAAGTTCTTTATTGAGAATTTGCTATTCAATACATGATTAATAATCCTATATTATTCAATATAGTTATTGCAGTTGGATATCTTGACCCTGGTAATTGGGCTACTGATCTTTCCGGTAAGTAATTGCGTTTCACTTCCTCTTTTCGTGGATCGCGTACATTTACTCATCTTAAACTCAACTTAATTAAGGCGGTTCAAAATTCGGCTATTCCCTCTTATTTATTATCTTTTGTTCTAATCTGATGGCCATGTTATTACAAAGTTTGTCGATTAAATTGGGAGTTGTAACAGGAATGGGTAAGAAGATCGTTAGAATGTTTGATTTTTTTACGAAATTCATCACATGAAAAAAGAATTTATAAAATCAAATTGTTTTATTTGATAGATTTGGCCCAAGCCTGTAAACATTTTTTCCATAGATATCCGAGATATTTCCTTTACGTATTATGTGAACTTGCGATTATTGCTACCGATTTGGCAGAAGTTATCGGCAGTGCAATTGCTCTTAGGATGTTATTTAATATCCCTTTACCTTATGGCGTTGCTGTTACGGCGCTTGACGTCATGGTCATTTTGTTTGTTTATCGTGATAATAGCATGAAAGCATCCAGAATTCTGGAAACTTTTGTAATGTTGCTCGTAGGAACCGTCGGAATATGCTTTGTTTTGGAATTAGTTTATTCTCAGCCAAACTCTGTTGACGTCTTAAAAGGTTATTTACCAAGTTCTGGGATCTTTACAAACTCGGAACAATTGTACATCGCTATCGGAATTATCGGAGCCACGGTGATGCCACATAATTTGTACTTGCACTCGCATTTGGTTAAAGTGAGAAAATATCGAGAACAAGAACGTGTAATTGCTGATAGGTATGATAATCATCTTGAATCAGGTCAAAATATTCACTTAGACAAAAGTACTTTTAAATCAATCGTTGCAAATTTAATGAACCTTTCTGTGATGGATTCATCTGTGGCTTTGACTTTTGCGCTTTTTGTTAATTCGTCAATTTTAATAGTAGCGGCGGCTAATTTCTTTTATAAAGAAACCACTATTGAAGTAGCTGATTTATTTGATGCTTACAATTTATTAACTCAATACCTTGGTAAGGCTGCGGGAACTCTTTTTGCTTTAGCCTTATTAATTGCCGGACAAAGTTCAACTTTAACTGCAACCATAGCCGGACAAATTGTAATGGAAGGTTTCATGGGTTGGAAAATACGTGCCTGGGTAAGAAGACTTTTAACTCGTTCATTTGCAATTATTCCTGCCATGATCATTGCGATAGTGAATGGTGAAAACGGATTAAATAATATGTTGATCGCTAGTCAAGTGGCTTTAAGTATTCAACTTCCGTTCGCTGTTATACCTCTTGTTTACTTTACGAGTAGCAAAAAGTGTATGAAAGTTGATATAAGGGATGTATTCAAGAAAGACACCGATGAAAGTAATTCACCCTCAATTTTGAATTCTGCTCCACTTAATACAGAGGATAATTCAAACATTACAGATGAAAAAACTGATCAAGATCCATATGTGACTTTTCCTAACACAATTTGGATCACTGTCATTGCAGCTATAGTTAGTATCATTATCCTTGGATTAGATATTTATCTTATTTATGAAACTTTCAGAGGGATGGTTCAAGGCACTTTATAATATTTCCTCTATTTAACATACATTAATTATAAAATTTCATTTAAAATACATCAACTCTTATTTTATTTTTTTTTTTTTTCTACTTCATTATAGAATTTTAAAAATTTATACTATTGATATTATTTTAAGCGATTTTCGATTATGATTTGTATTATTAAAAATATAAAAATAAAATTTCAGAACCTTTAAAGTAAAAGTACAAATATTATATATAGTACTAAATGATATATTTTGTGTACATTGCTTGATTAATGAATAAAATTTCATATCAAATATATTACATTTATATAAAATTAACTTTATAATTAAAACTAAAAGGTTTTCATTTTCTAGTATAATAAAAAATTTATCATATAAAACTTTTGAAATAGTTAGTTAAGTTTATTTTAAAGATATACTAATATTAATTTCAATTTTTAATATTTATGATAAAAAAAATGATTCTTAAATAATTATTATTGTTATGATATTATTTATTTAATTTGTTTTTTATTATTAATTTAATTAAAGAATTATATTAAATTTTAATATATAAATAATTTATAATACATTATATTAAATATTAATTTTTTTTATTAAATTTTAATAAAAATATGATATAGATTTTTTTATAAATAAATTAATATTAAACATAAATAAATTATAAAATTTAAAAATTTAAAAACTTTAATAATATTAATTATTTAAGTAAATTAAGATGTAATAAAAAAATAAACGTTTTTTTTTTATATATTTTTATTTAAAATTTCATATTACATATTATATTAATTTATATTTTAATTCATTTATCTATTATTTTATAAATAAAATTAAATCTCTAATAAAAAATTATTGTATAATATATCATATTTATATATGCATATAAAAAATATATTTATATAAATATAAATATATATTACTTGATACTGTATAATTCTAAATAAGTATCACATAATATATATGAATTTATTAGTATATACGTGACTAATAATATAATAAATTTTATGTGACAAATAAATAAATTACTATAAAAAGAGCATATTATAGAATGCTTATTTTTGGAAGTATACAATATATAATACAAATATATTTATATTATAAATTGTAATTAATTAGTTAATTATAATATTGTTTAAGTAATATTATATAAGTTTTAATAATCTAATAAAATTACATAATTAAATTTATTAAAATATTAATACTAAATAAAAGGTTACCAAATAATATATATAATTAAAAAAATAAATTATTTAAATCTATATAAATTAAAAAGTTTTAAAGTTAAATATACTTATAAATAAGGCCATTTCTAAACTTAATCATAATTATAACAACTATCCCAGTTATTTAACCAGTTAATATGATATTTTAACCACATATATATAGTTATTACATTACTAGATCAAATTTTATGTGATTTATAAAATTCGTGTGCAAAACATTATTATGAAGAAACATTAATTTTTTGATGCAAGATATAATAAAATTTTATTTTTCTTTAAGTATACTTTCCATAACAAAATCTGTATTACTTATATAATAAATCTTTATATTACTTATTATAATTCTTTTGATAATGGTTAATTTCATCACATTTTTTACATTTTCATTGTCCATGTTCATAAATTGCTCCTACTACACTTGTTTTTGCATAATTAAATGAATCTTATTTAACAATTTGATTAATATTTATAAGTTCTTTCAAGGACTTTTTATTTTTATTAATTTTCAAAATAAATGATCTAAGCAAAAAATATATATAAAAGGAAGATCAAATCCTAAAATAAATGATTTAAGCAAAGAAAATATATAAAAGGAAGATCAAATTCTAAACAAATGATCTAAGCAAAAAAAAATATAAAAAGGAGATCAAATCTTAAAACATATGAACCAGGCGAAGAATATGTGTTAAAAGAATGATCAAATTTAAAATATATGAACTATATGAAGAAAATATATAAAAGACTAGGTCTTGTTTTCTCAATTTAATAAACTTGAATCTCTTCTTTTGGGAGGATTTAACATACTGTAACTAAAATGAATGGTTTAATAACCTCCATATTTTAACATTAACCTTAACCTAATATAAATGAAAAGAATGGTTTAACAACCTCTATACTCTAATTTTAACCTTAACATAAATAAAAAAATAGTTTAATAACCTCAATACCCTAACACTAATATTAATCCTAACCCTAACCCTAACTCTAAGCTACTCTGAAGCTAAATTCACCATAATCTAATATTGTAATTTAAAGCAAAAAATAAAATATACCTATATCAATGTTTAAAGAATCGTCAACAAAAATATGCTCAAGTTCATTCATAATAAAATTTATGATTAAAAAAGTATGCGAAGTAAAAGTAATAATTGAATTTTTCAAAAAAATATTAAGGCGAATGAAGTAAATAAGAGAGAAAATTTTGAAAAAGAATTAATAAGATAGATATTCAAAATTATATTATTTTAGTAGTCTATTTTTGTTATATGATTAAACACATGATTTTCAAAAAATTCAAAATTCAAAATTCAAATTTATATAGATGATAATAACCAATGATTAATCATAGATTTTTCCTATAAATAAATATTTAGTTTAAATTAAAAATAAATGAAATGAAAATCTAATTTTAATAAATAATAAAATAAGTTGCATTATGACATATTTAAATCTATGAATATTTATATAATAATATATAAGTATATATGTATTGATAATACATAAAATAATTATTTAATAATTATTGATAAATTTTTTTATTGTAATAATTAAGATTTATTTAAAAATTAAATATAAATTTATTTAATATTTTATAAGTTTTATTAATTTTACTTTTTTAAATTTTGCAAATTTTTAATATATTTTATTAAATTTTATCTTTTATGGGTAAAGTAAGTTATTTTTTTCTCGGCACTTTTTTCCCTGATTTTCTGAATAATCCTTATTTCTTATTTAAATAATTAAAAATTTATCTGGTAATCTTAAATCTGATATTTGATTTATATACTATTTTTAAATAAAATATTCAATTTATTAAAAAAATATTTATTTAAGAAATTTTAATATATGTATATAATAATACTTTTTAGTCTTTTAAATTATAATAAATTTTATTAAAAAAATAATAATTATTCTTTTATAATTTATACATAATAATTATCATTTTTTATGAAAAGTTTTGATATTTAATTTATTATTAGAATTAATATATTAGGTAATTATATCTATAATATTAATTTTTGAAATTTTAAAACATTAATAATAGTTTACAAATTCTTTTAATTATTTATAAACTTATTATTTATTCAAACTTAAATACATTAATTTAAAATTTTAAAAGATACAATTTTTTTAAAAAGTAAAATCATAATTATTTATATTTTTTATTTTATTAAAACTAATTTAAGTATTATTATATATATATAAATATATATAAGAAGATTACTAGAAAAATCAGATTCTAAATATTTTTTAATTTTTATTATATTATAGTTTTTGATATCATTAGATTAAATTATAATAAGATTTTAATTTTAGTCAAAAAAAATTTAAATTCTGATTTTTTCTAGTAAACTTTTTATATATATTATTATTAATATTAAGTTTATTTAAAAAATTTTATTTAGTTAATATGTCTGATTTAAGAAATTTAAAAAAGCTAATCAAATACTTTTTAAGAGTAACATATATTATATTTTATAATATTATACAAATTTTTATAATATTATATTAATTATTATTTAAAATAAGATATTATAATTAAACTTAAAAGTATACATATAGTATCTATTTTTCATGTAATCTACTAAATAAGTATTATATTACAGTTGATTAAATATTAACTATTAGATACTTTACTAATTTCTATTATTTAATAAGAAGAATATTATACTATTTTGATTAGCTATTTATAATAATTTCTTTTTTTAAATAAATTTTATAGATTTTTTTATTTTTTTTTTTTATTAATTAGTTTTTATATATATAAATTTAAAAATTTTAAGATATGTATTTTTTTTTAAAAAAAAAAACTTTATAGAATTTTTTAAAATATAATTGAATTAATATAAAATTTAAAAAGTATTATTATTTTATTTATATTAATTTTAAATACAATTAAAAAATAAAATATTATTATTATTTAAATTAAAATATAAATATTAAACTTTTATATATTATAATTAAAATAAGAATTTTATATAAGTTATTAAAATATATAAAAATTATTACAATTTTAATTATTAATATCTAATTATAATTATAATAATATATAAATTTAAGCATTAAGATTTAAAATAATTTATAATTTATAATTATATTAAAATTTTAATGAAATTTGTTCATTTATCTAATAATTAATTTGTTAATACTTATTTTATTAATAATTATTTTACTAATAAAATTATTTTATTAATAATTTTTTATTAATAATTAATAAAAAAAAAAAATAGGATTAGAATTATTAATTATTAAATTATTTGTAATAAATAATTTATTTTTAAAATTTTTATATATTATTAAATCTTTTATTTTATTAAGCTAAACAAATTAAATATCTAAAATCTTTTTAATTAGTTAAATTTTTAAGTAATTTAAATAGAATTTAAAAAAATGAACTGTAAAAAATTCAGATTATTAGATTAAATTAATATTAAATAATATCTTTAGTCTTTTTTTATTTTTTATTATTTATATATTGTAATTTTTTTTTATATATAAATTAAATAATATAATATATAATTAAAATGTTATAATATTTCTTTTATATATATATATTAAAAAATATATTATATTATTAATAAAATTAATATAATTTTAATATCCCTTTAATTGTAATAAATTACCTACAAATTTATAGGCAATTTTAACTAATTTTAATTAAATTTTAACACAAAA